TGGTTCCTCCCAGGACCTCCATTTTAAGGAGGATGCCGGGCCCACCTCGTACTTCGTTCTTCTCCTGACTCTCCTCCCCTACTTTCCGTCTGTTACTGGTCGTCTGAAAATGAAGGACAAACGACAACACCAACAATGTCTTAGGGCTGGGTACTTTCATCTCCTCTTCACTCCCCTCCCTGGCCCCCCTCCCCCATTTCAGCTCCCTTTATGTGTTATCTTCCCCTATTAGAATGTATGCTCCTTGAGGGCAGAGACTTAAGCTGCTTTTTATATTCCCAGCCATTAGCACAGTGCATGGCACATAAGTGCTTAAGAAATGCTTGTTGACTTGTCTTGATCTATCTATATTTTCTATAGCTATATGTCTAGAATAGATCATGAGATTACTTGATGATAACTCTAGGGATTTCACATTTCTTTTCTTTTTTTCTTTTTATATTAATTTATTTTGATTTATCAATAATCACTTCCATATGCTTTTGAGTTGATTTCACATTTCTTAACAACATACTTAGAGTTGTATTTATTATGATATGTAAGATAAGCCCTAAAATATTTTCTATAATTGGCTAAATCATCTTTGAAAGGATATATACATACATATACACACATATAAATATATGTATGCATGTATATCTCCTTTCAAAGATACTTTCTTTCAGAGAGATTGCATTTTAAGGGTTTGATCTATACTTAGACTAAAATAGTGGAGAAAAATATTCTACCTTGACAGGAATAAAGCCCAACAGGTGGCCAACAATTTTTCCATCATGTTCACTAAGTTTTGGAAAGGTCGTCACCTCTGGTGAGAGGAAGCATCTCTCCCCAGAGAAATCACAGATTTTGGAAGTGATAGAGATACTTTAAAAATGAAATCCTTATTATGTAAATTGGAGCAAGTAAATTTTTGAGTGTCAGGTGTAATTTTAATAATGGGTAACCATTGAAAGCAATGGAAAAGTTTATAATTATCTCGTTATAATAAATCTTTCATGGTTTATCTTGCACACCATGACAAAAACACAGCTCGAAGCACTCTATAAGAAGTGGGAAAACCCCAGAGTTACCACTGAGCGCTCTGATGATCCAGACCAGATGCAGAGTATAGAGGAACATTCACAGACGCAGGTGGGCAACTGAGCTCTCCTAGGTAGGGCAGACTCACAGAGAAGAAAAGGGATGTGCTGACAGGGGGAGATGGCAGACTTGAATCTTAATGCAAGATTAAAAAAAACTAAATGGAAGAGACTTTTCTTATTCCTAGACCTCTTTCTCACATTAAACTCATTATATGTGGTCAGAGATTTAGAGCCAAAAGGGTTCACAGTGACCATCTATCTAGTCCTACCCTTTCATTTTACCAAAGAAGAAACTGAGACCCGAGGAAATGAAGTGACCTGCCTAAGGTCACAGAGATGGTAAACATCAGAGTTGGGATTCAAATTAGATCTTCAGACCCTAGATATCACAGATAAGTCAGTGGCAGAGTCCAAATGCAATATTACTAGAGACACCTTATGAGAATCAGTGATAGGTTGTTCAGGACTAGGAAGAACATTTTATTTTTAAATGTGGACCTACAGTCACAATCAATGCTTTCTTAATCATCATGAAACACTAGGCTTTAAAACCTTTAGATAATATCTAACCTTATTAGGATATTAGGAAAATAGCGTCCCCAAGTCTCGCCTGAAACTCCTTAGCTATTTATTTGAGTGTATTGTTTGTACTGAATAAAACAACCATACTGTATTTGTTGTTCAGTCATTTCAGGAGCGTCTGACTCTTTGGGACCCCTTTTAGAGATTTCTTGGCAAAGATGCTGGAGTGGTTTGCCATTTCCTTCTCCAGCTTGTTTTACAGAGGAGGAAATTGAAGTAGAGTTAAGTGACTTGCTCAGGGTCACCCAGCTAGCAAGTGTCTGAGGCCACATTTGAACTCAGGAAAATGAGTCTTCCTGACTCCAGGCCCTGACTCTACCCACTGGGCCACCTGGTTCCCATATCTGGGGCCTTCCTCTATGATACGGAGTAGACTGTACCTGGGATATGCCACAAGATGCTTTGTGCTCTAAGAGTCTACTCATTTGTTAGGTTAGGTGTCTATTGTGAGGCAGCGGAGGGACAGGTATGCTTTTGTAGCAGGTCCTGGACTGGTGGGAAATTTCTTCATCTATATAATCTGTGATAATCTCCGCATACTTATTTACTGAGGAGTTTCTTCTTGGGACCCTTCTGACCCATCACAGGGGGAGATAAGCTCAGAGACTAGGAAGGTTGCCATTCCAAGGGAGAGGAGATAGAGATTGTAAGTGTGATTTCACTGTATATTGAATACTCTGGTGAGGAAACTTCCCCTACCAATGTGTGATGGCACCTGTCCTGCAATTTATAATCTCAGAAAGTTTCCTACAGCCCTGAGAGGTTAGGGGCAGAGCAAAGTATGTGTCAGGAGTGGGCCAAGGCTAGCTATCTTTAAACTGGGCCACATTACTTATGTTTTCTAGGGCCATGCATTAAATCCTATATCCCTAAGAATGGAGAAGTAGTATGACAGAGTGGGTAGAGGACCAGTCTTTAAATCAGGACGGTCTGGATTCAAATCCTGCCTCAGGCAAGGCACACAACTAGCTCTGTGACTCTGGGTAGGTCACTTATTGTCTCGTAACTCTCTAAGGTCTATGTGGTTGATGTTTTGGTGAGTTGAGAGTTCCCTACACCGTAGGTCCAAACAAAAGAAAAGACAATACCCTAACTCCTCTCCCCCACAAATTCCTAAATAATAACTTTGTAAAAGTAAAATGTGTAAGTTCTTTAAGGTATGGAATTATTTTACCTTTGTATCTCTAGCACCTGTCAGAGTACCTTGTACATTACAGGTACTTAATATCTCTTAAATTGAACTGAGTTAAAAGGGCTTACTGCCACCTCTAAAAATGCCCACACCCAGCACCCTACCCACTTTCACTTTTGGAAGTGGAAGCCCTGAAATCCTACAGGGCCTACATGACCCATAGTTACACTCACGCCTCGGTCCCCCACTTCTTCCGAAGCTGCTGATGTGTAGGGCACAATGGAAAGGTGGAAACATAGTCAATTGAGTCTGCAGGAGGACATGGTCCAATGGAGGGTTCTTCTTGCAAAGCCCAGGGTGAAATACAGGCTCAGGCATTACCTTGAACTTTGTGTTCATGGTCATCCCGGAGGACAGCAATGGCAACAGAATGGTTGTTTTCCATCTCTAACAAGGTAGCCTCGTGGGTGGCTGAGATGTCTTCTACCTGGAAAAAAGAGCAGCAAGGACAAGGGTCAGGGAGCTTCAGAGAGCAGAGAATGGGCTTTCATCACTGTCACTGCCAGGTGAAACATCACAGACTCAGGGAGATAAGCAGTGGAGCCAGAGAACTCCCATCCCACTTCTGATACTGACAAGCCACCATGGCCTCGGCCAAGTTGCCTGGACTCCCGTGTTCCCAGTTTTCTCACCCATAAAATGAGTTGGACTAGAGGGTCTCTGGGGTCCCTTCTGGAGCTACATCTGGCATGCCAATCCAACATCCTCATTTTTACTATTTGGTCACAAATGGAACATCAATGATCAGTGGCTGAAGGCATCATGTATGAGTGTGTTAACACGGGGAGAATGGTCACCAACTGTCTTCTAGCGCAGCGAAGGACCAAACACACTGAAGGAAGAGGGATAGAATTGGTGCTGGTGTGGTAGTCCTAGAAGGAGGAATAAGTTGTCTATAAATATGACTTGCCGCTATCATTAGAGGAGGCAGCTACTTAGGTGGTACAGTGGGTAGAGTGTTGGACTGGAACTCAAGAAGATTTGAGTTCAAATCCAGCCTCAGTTACCTACTGGCCATGTGATCATGGGCACATTACTTAATCTTTGTCTGCCTCAGTTTCTTCATCTATAAAAAAATTGGGAAAATAATAGTATCTACCTCACAGGGCTCTTTGTGAGGATAAAATGATAAGAATAAATTATAAAGTGTTTTGCAAACCTTAAAGCATTTGCAAATGCTAGGTTATTATTATATAATTGCTTAGTCATTTATCCCAAAATGCCAGCGATAAGCAGGGGTCTTGTGGACATACGATGGTACATGAGCTAGCAGCAAAAAAGGGTCAGCCATCTCAGAGCAATGCTATCTGTGTTTTAGGTGTCTAGCCCTTGGAAAAGGTGTATGCATGATAATTCTGTCAATGACAGATGGGACCCCCAGTGCACAAAACAAGCGAAGACCTGTAATAGCTCACACGTGGCACAGATCATAGGATCCTACATCTGGAGCTTTCTGAAAGGGACCTCAGGGCATTTCATTTAGTCCAATCTTCTTTTCTTATAAACAAGAAAACTGAGGCCCAAGGGAGGCTTACTTACAGGTAGTGAGCATCAGTGATAGAATTTGAACCCAGATCTTCTAACTCCAGGGTGACTGTACTGTATGTGCCCCCAATAGTCTTTAATCCCTTCCACGATGTCATGTGCACTTGACCTCTCTTGATGTAATTAACCACATCACAGCCTCTTTATTTCACATACACCCTGCTGATTGAGAGGTATATGGGATATAGAAGTTACAATAGTTTATTGTTTTCCAACGACTAAATGAATGAGCAAGTCTGCCTGCTTACTTGTGTGTGAGGCCTTGGAATTTTTCATGCTTTTACTTGGACTGGTCTATTCATTCCCTCTCCTACTACTCTCATTCCCTTCTTGCTTGGGGCACTGATGGGGACCACCAAAATGACTAGTTTCCCACATTTTGTCTCTTTCCCTTCTAATCCATTCCGCACATAATGGCTGCCAGATTAATTATCCTAATTCATAGTCCTAAACACATCATTCACCCCTTGAAAATATCCTTTAAACAGCTCCCTCCTATTTAACAAATAAAGTCCTGACTCTGGCACTGGCAATGCAGTGTAGTGGGAAGAATTCTGGATTTGGAATCATGATCCGAGTTCAAATGCTGCCCCTGCCCTGCCATTTACTATCTGTGGGACCTTGGCAAAGCAACTTAAGCCTCTCTTGATCTCAGTTTATTTGTAAAATGAATGAATGGGACTAGATGATTCCTGAGGTCCTTTCTGGTTCTAAACTAGAGGCTTCAATAATGGGGATCCAACCTACCTTTCTAGCCAAAGGAACCCCCTTTGTAGATTTTATTTTCAAGACAAAGTGGACTGTTTATCTCTTCTTCACTTATCCTTTCCTTACTGCACATTTCACAACATTCCCCCAACACTCAATTTAAGTATCTTATTCCTACCTATCTTTCATGGACCAGCTCAAAAGATAGCTTCCACACGAAGCCTTCCTTGATTTCCCCCACTCCGTCCCAGCCAGAATCATTCTCCTTCCTTTCAAATTCCCAGGAACTCTGTACCTTTCTTGCACACCTGGTTTCTATTTTGTACTATAGGTATAGCAAGTATGCAGGTAAGCCCATCCATCCCTCGTCACTTGGGTTAAGCATTTCCCTCCACTCTCGTTCATGGGGGATTCCTAGAGTGTGTGTGCAAGAAAGGATCTGCTTCTGGATATAAGGGAACACATGGACTGTGGAGGAGAGATGACGGAGAGGACCTGGAGAGACAGCCCCAAAGAAGAGGGAATCACCTATTAGCCAGGGCCAGATAGGGCTACTCTAACAACAAAAGAGGGACGATGGGGAGGAGCCAAAGTTCCAACCTTGGCTTTGCTACTGTCATACCAGATTCATTAGCTTCCCCCCAGAGACTATAGATCCTGCTATTGTACCTTTGAGAGGCTCAAGAATCTGGAAGTGACAGTTTAACGGCTGTAGTGAGTTTGAATTGGCCTATGGGGCCATCCCCCATATGGAGCATGCTCAGAGCTGCCATTCATAGTTCCAGGATGAGCTGACTCAGCTAAGGGGCTTTCACTTTCAGATGAGGGAGCATCCCTTTAATTAGTGACTGTGCAGATGGAATGACTGATGGATGACTCAGTGGGCGGACACAAAAGGGATCAAATGCTCTACCCTCCTCAGCCTCCCCCTTTGCTTCTGGCTGCTGATTGTGCCATGAGCTACGTCCAGAGAAGGCGATGGGGAAGAAGGGTGGCTTGCTCTAGAGGTTACAGAGGCTAGAGACTAGTCTCCAACCTCCACGCAACCATGAGCACATGACATCTAAGGCAAATATCTTGCCTAAACAAACCTGATTCTGGGTTGGGGCTGTCTCTTTTGTTTATTTTATGTTAGTTATTTTCAGATTTATACTGAGATGGCTTGGAGGAAACATTGTGAGTTCTAGAGGTCTGGAGGTCTTGAGTGCCATCAGGTCCCAGCTGAATGTTAGCCCTGGGGGTTACTGTTATTACAGAGGATTTGTCAGCAAGAAAGGGACTGTCCCAAACCTGGACATTTTACCACCAGACATGTACTGTTAGTGATTTGGATAGTGCAAAGATGAAGCAAAATGTAAAACACCTAATCAGCAGTCCTGTAAGCTGCTTTATGTTCTGATGAGGTTTAATTATCAGCCTCTCGGCAGATGTAATAGGAGTTAAAAGTTGTTACTGAATCCTGTGTTAAGTTGTTCTATTAATGTATGCTGTGAGTCTTTCGTGCCTAGCTTTCTTTCTTTTGTGTGCAGGAATAAATTACCTACCTGCTCCAACTTGATTAATATGATACACTGTATACCTTTTTACTCCCTGTTCTTTGAGAAACCCTAGATGTAAGCCATAACCTAAACTTAAAGTAAATCTGTCTCAGGGGTGCCAGAACTAGAGTTTAACAAGCCAAAGAAAGTGAGAAAAGGAAACCAAAACCCTCTCATTAGAAGCAGGTGACCTAGGACTGAACCCAGTCCAAACTCTATGCTTTGGTACATGGTGTGGGCTCAGCATTCTATAAGGAATCATTTGTAAAGAGACTGTTATTCTTTCCTGATTGGAGATAAACTGAGGTACAGAGAAAAAGGATAAAAAGAACTTCTTTGTTTAGAGAACTGGTTTAACTTTTTCTTGCAAAGAGGAAAAGAATTCCTGAGAATTGACTAGAAAGATACTTGAATGGTGGGAATATTGTTACATAAGGGAGAAGTCAAGAATTGTAGTGATAGATGATGGAGACTTTGGCTCTGATCTTTCTCATAGCTTAAGTGATATAAATGATAATTTTTTGTTATTGGTTACAAAGTTAATAAATTATATGGCCAGTAACTTTTAATAATTTATAAAGCTTAAGAGATAGTGGTTTTGTTCAATAGAAGCATAAGCACCTGCTAAAATAAAATAAGCGATTTCTTTAATAGTAATTCAAAACTTGTAACTGAGTCATGAGTACAGCAGGGAACCCTGTGCAATAAGGGACCACTCAGATCTATTTTTTTTTTGCTGGTTCTATGAGTCATGATGACTATATACATCCTGAAGGAAGATGCAACGTATCGGGGGGGGGGGTATCTTTTTGTTCTGTTTTTGGTTTTAGGTCTGGAAATAGAACAGTTTTTCTTTTTTTTTTTTTTAGGCAATTGGGGTTTAAGTGACCTGCCCAGGGTCACACAGCTAGTAAGTGTCAAGTGTTTGGTCTGAGGCTGGATTTGAACTCATGTCCTCCTGACTTCAGGGCCAGTGCTCTATCCACTGTGCCACCTATTTGCCCTGAAGAGTTTTTCTGACAGCTAAAGGGCTCAGGCATGAATCCATTCTGTGTGTATATATGTGTGCTTTAATCTGTCCTATATCTTTTTTTTTTCTGAGGCAATTGGGGTTAAGTGAACTGCCCAGGTCACACAGCTAGTAAGTGTCAAGTGTTTGGTCTGAGACCGGATTTGAACTCAGGTCCTCCTGACTCCAGGCCGGTGCTCTATCCACTGCACCACCTAGCTGCCCCAATCTGTCCTATATCTTATGTTTCCAAGGTTTCCCTAGGGAGGTGCATGAGTCAGAGAGATTTGGTGAGAGACCCTCCTAAATTGTCCCCAGGTCTGTTGTGTCAGGGGTTAGGGCTTAACTAATAAAAGGTTATGTTATTATTTAGCTATGTGTGTTATCTTTGCTTTTTTGTTATAAGCTTAAGGGAAGTAACCATGCTTATGTCATATTCTCCATATTAGATCACAAGCTTCTTAAGGTCAGGAAGCATGTTCATTTCATATGATTAAAATGTGATTGTAATCATAAACTCCTTGAAGATAGAGAGGGAGGGAGAAAAAAGGAGAGAGAGGGGGTGAAAAAGGGAGAGAGAAAGAAAGAGAAAGGGAAAAGGGGGAGAGAGATGGGGGTAGAGAAAGG